AATAATAAGAATGTAAAAATACAGTTTGAATAATTTTTGACCAAACGAAACCGAATCAAACGGATCTTCAAACACTGAAGAACCGGTTCTGGGTTTTGAACCACCTGGACTCGGTACCGGACACTTGACCCTGCAGCCTACCTGTGGACGTTTGGACCGGCGGTTCCGACTCGTGGAAAAGCGGCAGCGCGGACTCTTTCCCCGGCAGGAAACTCTTCCCGTCCTCTGGGTCCAGACGCAGGTCCTGCAGGGCCTGGGAGCCGAACTTCCGGACTTCGTGGTGCTGCTGGGCCGAGGAGAACCCGCTGGGCAGGGAGGCCATCAGAGTGGAGGTGAGACTCAGGTTCTGGGCCAAGCTGGAGCAGAACCCGCCCTGCAGGTTCGGGATCTGCGTGTGTGGGGGGTGCAGAGCCTGCTGCAGGCCCGGCGGGGGCGGGGGCGGCGGCTGCAGAACCACGGACCGGTACGGGACGAACATGGGGTACCCAGTGTAGACCAGGGGTCCCGGACCGGGCTGCGGGGGGGCCCCGATCAGAGAGTCGATGCTGAAGGCGGTGCTGGTTCCGAGCGGCCGCTGCATCACCATGAAGGCTGAAGGACTGAAGGCTGCGCTCATATGGACCCGAACCGGGCCGGAGCCGGAGCCGCTGGACTCAGCCGGACCTCAGAAGACAGATAATCCGATCAGAGATAAACATCCCGTCCAGAGTCCAGAACCGAACAGCTGGGTCCAACCGGACATGGACGGATAAGTGATGCTCCGTGCGCGGGTCAGTCGGTCTGGTTCCGCTCTGAGGACCGGGTCCGGCCTCTACAGACTGTCCTGTTCCTGAGAAACTGGTCCGGACTGTGTGGACTGTCCTCCTGCTGTGGACCGGGTCAGGTGAAGTGCGGGTCTCCCGGTCTGTAGAGGATTTAAACTGCGCTCCGGTCGGCTTGTTGGCTCCGCCCCCCTCGCTCTGTGATTGGTGGAACCTCAGAGCGAGGGGACTCGCTCTGAGGCATATGAGGCACATGATAGCGACTCTGTCTGTGGTCCTGATGAAGGTTCTGATGAAGGTTCTGACAGAACTCTGAGGCCCAGTCAGTCACACTGTGGGAAATACATAAGTTTTGGCAGCTTCAGTATTTATTTCTCAGTTTTTCTTCAATTATGTTTTAAAATCAAAACCAAACCTGGTTCTGAACATGAAATGATCAAACATCCCTCAGACCCAGTCGGCTGGACTTTAAATAARCTGGTTCCAGAACTTTTACAGGATTTTGACTTATTTTTACCTACAGTCTTGATTCTGGTGGAGGGCTGGTTCCTCTCAGACC